ATAACTCAAAAATTCATTTTTTAAATACGTAACTCAGAAATTCATTTGCTCTTTTTCACTTAGACGGTATATTTGACTTTGCTGTAGGTTTTTCTAAAAGCTTTCCACGTACCGGCTTCGGGCGGCTTGCGATTGGGACTGGGCGTCGTCGCAAAAGGGCGAAGGCGTCGAATGGAGCAATAAAGGCAGCGGCGCGGGCGGCAAAGGGTCATTCTGACGCGACGACCTCGCCGTTTCACGCTTCCCCAACTGTTTGTTATATTTGCACAAGGGATGAGACGACTACCGAGCCGCGAAAATGGCAGGGAACCGCTGCACTGGCTCAAATCTTCCTTTTTAATCCGATGAATGATCCGTTTGATCGTGCGACTTTTGTTTCCTGCTCGGGGCATCGCGCCTTTGATTTCGCTCTTCCAACTGGACCTCGGGTATTGGAATATTTACCAGGGACGTGTACGTGAAATGCTGTATCATTTGACTGTATCACATGGGTGATTCAAAGAATGCGAATTAAAATTTCTAGAGTCCACAGCAAATTGGTGAACAAAAAACTATATTTTGCTGTCCTTCACCGAGAATGAAATACTCATATGTATTGATTGAAAAAAGAATAAAACAAATTGCTAGAACAAAAGCTCTCATTCTTTCATCATTGTAAGTAAATAGTGTTATCACTGATCATTGCATGGAGAAACTTTCCCACTCTCGATTAAAACGAACGCACTCCCAATTGTTTTAATCAAAGCAAACAACTACTCTTACGAAGGAGCGCCAATTTTTTAGGATTTGCTCCAACAGAATGGAAGCAACGATTCAAATACATAGGTTCTTCGTACTTTAGGCTTTCATTGCGTTTGTTTCCTGCCTCGAGATATAAAGTGACTGTAAAAATAGCAGGTGTGTATTTAACCCATATGGGATATGCCTCCATCCAAAACGGAAATTAACTTTATTTGATGAAAAAAGGGAAAATGGAATTTGTGAAATCGGTAATAATAAACTTTTAGCCCAGTAAGTTTCCTAGAATAAAGTTCGATCATTGTTCTGAGAGATCATTAAAGAAAAAACCTTGCTTCAATATTGTCTTTCAAATATATTTAGTTATTTGATTCCGCCTAAACAATTATATTTTACGTTGAGGTTGGTCATTACTTCCCAAATCCTACGCAGTTACTACGTCGCTTAAAAAATAAACAATAATATGATTTTTAACTATACGTGAATTAAATCTCGATCGATATTTCAGACTTTAACTAAATTTATATACGACAATTCAGTATCTGCTACATTTAGAACAATTCTACGAAATTAAATTACTGCACTCTTTCCAATAATATCATGTTGTATTATGCCAAGGAATTCAAATACGGTCAATTGGATTCCACGCCCTAGTTCAGTAATTTATCTCACTCCACTACCTTAGTTCAGTAATTTATTACGAGAGTATTATTGTGTCACTGAGAATAGAATTCCGACGACTTCAGTGCCAAATACATTGATGCACATCTTCCTCTAGATGTAGTTTTATGTGAAGGGATATTGACGAGAGAAAACACATTTCTCTCCAAGATGTGTGCTTGATGAGTATGAAAGATTGCATGATGCTGCTGTAAATGTACGTAATCATCTCATTACTACATTTATGATAGTTCCTGTGAATAGTGTGTATTCTAGGCGTATTATGTATTAGTTTCTTTCATTTTACTCTAGAAAAACCAACGTAAAATCTGTCATGCAAGACCAGGGGGAGGGAGGGATTTTGCTGAACCAACCTGCTTCGTTGCGTTGCGACGCGTCATCAGGTTTGAACCTCATGTGGCGCGATGACAACCTCCGTCAAGTTCCGTCAAGCTGCAACCCCCACTTGTTCGAAACTCAAAATTAACTAGCCTATAATTTTGTACTAATTATGTACTAATTTTCTACCACAATTAAAAATGTTGTACTCACTATAACAATAAAAGAAACACACCCAAAAGTGGATAGTGCCTTACTTAACGTCAGCTAGCACCTCAATTTTGGTGTGGTTTTTATTGTTTTAATAGTTAGTAAATAAATGTTTAAGAGAGCTACAAAAATTATTACATAATAGATAAAAAGTATAGGCTCAGTTAATTTTGAGTTTCGAACAAGTGGGGGTACAGCTTGCGCGAGGTCGATGAAGCGGACCGGAACTATTACGCAGTCACAACAACTAGCTTTCACCACATAATAAACTCTTCAAAAACAGCATTCATAAAATAATTAGCACGCCGTCGTGCATGTGCCGGCGAGCTGTAACTGCAATCAGGGGAGGGGGGCGTCCCCGAGGGCTTACAGCTCCGTAGCGACGGGTGGGGAGCGGCTTGAAAGGCCATCGCGGCAACGGATCCTGTGTTGCTCCGGAGGGAGGCCGGCCCCCTGCGGACGGCGGTGGGCGTGTGGTGCGTGTCGTCTGATTGGATGGTCTCGGGGCGGGCTAATATCTGCCGCACGCCGCCGGCGTGAGCCATGCTCGATGCCCCGCGTTGCCGCTCGCGTCCCTGCTGCTGTCCCGCAGGGCGGTCATTCCGAATTATTAACCCGGCTTGCGACCGCCCGTTCCCTCCGCACGGCGGACGATGGGGGGGGGGAGTAGGGTCAGGCGAGACGGGCCGCCCTGCAAGGGGCAACCTGGCGCTGAAGACGGTCCCAGCGGCGGCGGAGGGGGGGGGGAGGCCGAGGGCGGCCGCGTGCGGGGACGTCGTGTCGCGTGCAAGTCGCCGCCGCCACTCGATAACAGAGACTCGTGAGGGCGCGCAGACCAGCCAGGCGGGTGCGTCGAGGTACGCGGCTTCTTGCGGCTGTTGCTATGGCGGGTCTGGTATTACTGCCCGCAACTATTTCTTGAACGATCGCTTGAATAAATGTGGTAGATCGAATTAGTAACTTAGTTACGAAATCGGCCACTAGGTTTTACGAAACATTGCCAATTTCTGGAGAATCAGCCATTCCTTCACATTGTCAATAATTTGCGTTCTAACTCTCAGGAGTTCGAGGTATCTCCTGTGAAAGATATTTACCTGGTTCGATTATTTCTTTAGATTTTTTGGAGAAAATAACGAATAGGAGTTATCGCCTACAAAATAAAATTGTATTTGATTATTTTGATTTGCCTCCAAGGAAGATGTGTTCGGAATGTTGTCATCATGAGCTTTCGCCTTAAACTGTTTGTTCTTCCCGGGACGGGGAAGAAAGGTTATCGTTCAAGAAAAGTTGCGCCAGTAATACCCGATATTATGAAAGCACTGCTGCAAAGTAAACGAAAAACAGAGAACATGATTGTGTATCACGTGTTGCAGTTGTATGAGTGCAGTTTCTTTTATGTACATATATTGACCTATCATTAAATTCCATCTTCGAGTATGCACTTAATAAACTTCGGACGCAATGTAGAGAAGAATTATACCGGCCGCCTGCTCAGATCGAGAAGTTTCCATGGTTTCTCCGTTCAATACAAAGAGAAACACCAGAGCCGTTTTGTAACAAACTGGCCGCCAACGTCGTGCAATGTTATCTTCCTTATACGTATCCCCTCTGTCCCGTTGCACATTTGCACTTATATGCACTACATTACCATATTTATCGGGTGACATGTGCACAGCTTGGAGCTTGTCCCTGAGGTGTCCCTGCGGAGGAAATACTTGAAGCAAGAAACCAGACTAGCCGGCGCGTTGGTCGGCGGCAGATTTCACGTAACACCGCAATAGAAACACCGCCACATTTTGGAGGGGGCGCTGCAACTACGGGACTAGTGATATTAGCCGTTGATGCGCCCAGAAATAGAAAACAATCCAATTGAAAGGTTTCTCTAGAGAAAATACAACTGCTTAAAGATTTTCGCCTCAAGTGCGTAATTGACTGAAAATAAGACTAGCAAATTTCTTTGCGACGACAATGACTCAATTAATCGATGCGAGACTCTGGTTTTCACTTTAAAAAGGTGAAAAAATGGAAAATTATGGGTTTGTCGTATTATTTCGAATTATTTGTGCATGTTAGCGGCTAAGGTGGCTCAGGGCATCAGCTGATGTCACTGCAGTCCCTCTGACTGGGAGGTCCTAGGGGTCGAGTGCCGACGGTGGCAGGATTTTCAACATAATGCCGCGTTCAGCCGCTGTCTAGCGGCCGGATGCTCTTATTGGTAGTCATTTTTTTCGTGGTTTCTCTAATCAACACCAGTCGAACGCCGGAGCAGTATCCAAGCAAACAGGCCACGCGACGCGCGACCTTTCCTTCCTCATCCTATTCCTATCCTCATCCGTTAAACATACACACGCTTCACTAACAAGCACTAAACTACCACACACGCCGGAAGACCGGTCGGGAGTTTAGAACTTGTCCCGGCTGGAGCGGTGTTTTGTTAGTGGGAGACATCTGGTGGACCAAAATCCCCGCAAAGTGACGATTGGTCGGCGCCGGATATCGCCTTCCTGCGGGAGAATATCACTGTCACCTCACGCGATAAACACATGTACTACACTTACGGAACTAATGTTTTAATCTGTTGATAAGCCAGGAATCATTCAAACGTTTCAAAAAGTACAAAGATTGAAACGTATGTGTTTGTTGAATGATTTGCAAATGTACGTATGTATGTTCTGTGTTTGCAGACGCGCCGACGTGCAAGCAAGAGCGCATTCTGGTGGTGGGAGCGTCGCGCTCCGAGAATCTGGACATCGCGTGCCACGTGGAGACGGACCCGCCCGCGCGCGCCTTCCGCTGGAAGTTCAACAACAGCGGCGAGACGATCGAGGTGTCGCCCGAGCGCTTCGCCGCCACCTCCAACGGCACCACCTCCGTGCTGCACTACACGCCCAACTCCGACCTCGACTACGGCACGCTCTCGTGCTGGGCCGACAACGACATCGGCCCGCAGGCCGCGCCCTGCGTCTTCCAAGTGGTGGCGGCAGGTGAGCCAACCCCACGACGCCAAACACACTTCGATTTTTTTCGTTGACGTAAATCAGCTGTTACGATGTCATCCAATCGGGACTTTCGACGGCAGTTAGTGACACCAGGTAGTCCGATGACGTAAAACCGCTTTTACGGTGTTATCCAATCGGGAACTTGAGCGACACATAGTGTCACCGAATTGTCTGGTGACGAAAAATAGCTGTTATCGAGTCATCCAATCGGAAACGTGGACGACATAGTGTTACGGAATAGTCCGGTGACGTAAAATAGCTGTTACGATGTCATCCAATCGGGAACTTGGACGACATTTAGTGACACCAGGTAGTCCGATGACGTAAAACAGCTGTTACGGTGTGATCCAATCGGGAACATGGACGACACAATAGTGACGTTTAAGTTCTCGATTGGATGTCATCGTAGCAGCTGATCAAACGTCAACGGACTCTGTAAATAAATCGGAGTACAAGAATGAGATAACCGATTAAACGCTATTTTCCGAATTATATTTCTCTCTGTGTCGACAGCTGGTGTGGGAAAGAGAGATGTCGCTTCCGCGACCGAAGTCAGTATTTATTTGGCAGTCCGGGAGTCGCCGGGTCTTTAGGTCAGGTGCCATCGTTTCGGCCCCGATTCAGCGATCTTCCTCAGCATTTCGCTCTAAGGATGGTGGCGGAATGGGTGTGGGCTGTGTTTATGACGCGGCGTATCCCGAACAGAAAAGTAAATAATGTTGCCACTTATTTGATCTGCAGACACGCGGTTATTCTTGCATCAACTCTCAACGACAGCAGTTTTAACAAGAAACAAATTTGCAATGAGAGCACACAACAATAGACGACACAGAATTGCAGACACGATCCACAACCAAACATATAATGATGCCAAAGGGAGCTCTTCTATTTTCAGTTACTTCGCGCATGATGATGTATTTTATTTTCTTAGTAAGCATCGGCAACTTTGCAGCGACGTCATCAGAATTTTATCCTTCTGAGTAGATATCTGAACCCCCTCTCCCCTACTAGCGGCTAGATGTGAAGTAGACAGAAATATTATTCGGACAATATGAACCTGGGAAACAACATGAATGCATATGCAGAGCCTCTGTGCAATTGCAAAATGCTCTTAAAATATGTATATTCACTTCATTTCTTTTTTCAATAAAAGTCAACTCTTAATGTTAAACATATCATTATTTATTTAAATAACTATTACTGAAAAAGCCCATTAGTTATTTCTCTTTCTTTCTCTTTCTCTCTCTCTCTTTCTCTCTCTCTTTCTCTCTCTCTTTCTCTCTTTCTCTCTCTCTTTCTCTCTCTTTCTCTCTCTCTTTCTCTCTATCTTTCTCACTCTCTTTCTCTCTCTTCCTTTCTCTATCTTCCTTTCTCTCTCTTCTTTCTCTCTTTCCTTTCTCTCTCTTCCTTTCTCTCTCTTCCTTTCTCTCTCTTCCTTTCTCTCTCTTCCTTTCCCATTTTGTTGATTTTTGTTGTTTTGTAGTTCCCACCGTTATTCTCGTACATTACTTGAAGTTAAGCATGAAAAACATTGTAGTACATGAGAATCCTCTATTTATATTTTCTTGATTAACTTCACGCCACGAAAATCAATGCAATATATTTAACTAATGACACATATCCTCTCTAATACGGTTCATGAGACAGCGATTTTTATATTCATTTCAATTTCATTTGAATTGTGACGTTTCATTTTTCCACATTCAATCTCTGTTTATATGTCCTTCAAAAAAGGTTTGTTTTGAAAAATTGGCACCAAAATAAAAAAAATAGTCCCGATTTTGCAAATTAATTAATAGCACACAAACCACTAATTATTTATTCTGGTGTTTAAAGTATATTTCGCGTGACTAATTTCCTGTTATTAAGACATATTCATATTATTTTTTCCAAAACGTTCTAGGAATTTTCAATATTACAACAATGTATGACCCTTTCAGAACATATTTTAATAACGTTTTGTTTATTGTGATTGTGTAACCGAATTAAAGATAAGCCCATAATATGGTTTACGTGCACAAACGTTTGCTCTGTGCTCCGTCTGCATTGATTTATGCTTTCATCCGACGCTAAACACGGCTGAACTCCCATGGTCATGAATTTTAGAGGACGTAGTACATCCAAACAACGCTACTCTTCGCGATATTCAGAGCTCCATATATCTATATCTACAGTCGTACTTTGTTCGAGCCCATATATCACGGATGACTGCCTTTGTCTTAGAAAACATGGAAAAATATCGAACGAAATAATATTTTACTTTTTAAATTATTATGTAAAATATATTCAAGAAAGTATTTGTTTTGAATTAATATTTGTTTGAATAACAATTAATTCGTATTCTAGAGAATTCAAATTATTGGAATAAACTATATCAAGTAATTTGACAACAAAAGACCCGCTATATATAATTGCAGATATTGCCAAACACTGATATTTAGAACTCATTCATTGAAAATCTACATGAACTCCGTACATGGCTCCATATAAGATTTCCATTTGCCGATGCTTTGTCGAATTTATTGGATGATTTTCAGCTCTTCTTAAGCATTGCTAATGACCTTCAGGGTACACTCTCTGAAATTTTTTAAAAATTTTCATTGCCTACAATATATATTTTCATAACTAGTGCGGAAATAATGTCAGCATACATAATATTATTATCTGCTCAACGTAATTACAGAATGTCGCAGCCCACTGTTATTACATTATAATGTATTGCTAATGTGTTTTAAAGCACCAATACTGCTGAATATCTTTTTAATATTTCCCATAAAAGTGGCTCACTTCGAACTCTCCTCCTCACTTATTGGTCCCTGTTTATCTTCTTTGTTTTCCACTGTTTTACTGCATTGAACTCCAACATTTAAACTGTATGGATCCCCTCATACCTTAGGGTGAATTGAAAAAAACGCCCTGTTACATTAGTCGAGTAGGTCCCTTTGATAAAATGAATTTATTTGGATTTATTACACACTTACGCCCAGCGCGTTCCATTGACCCATTTGGTACTGTATGGTTCGTAGACACTGTATTCTTTTGGCTCCAAGCGTTTCTTTTGCCCAGAGCAGTCTATTGATTCCTCCGTCATTTTTGCCCCATGCTTTGGCTTCATGAGTCCCACCCGTTCGTCCCAGCTCATTCCTTTGGCCCCATTCTTTCCTTGGAATCCTTGAGGGATTTTGCTGAACCAACCTGCTTCGCTTGCTGGCGACGCGTCATCAGGTTTGAACCTCATGTGCGCGATGACAACCACTCCGTCAAGTTCCGTCAAGCTCAACCCCCACTGTTCGAACTCAAATTAACTAGGCAATATAATTTTGTTACTAATTATGTACTTAATTTTCTACCACAATTAAAAAATGTTGTACTCAACTATAACAATAAAAGAAACCACACGCAAAAGTGGATAGTGCCTTACTTAACGTCAAGCTAGCACCCTCAATTTTGGTGTGGTTTTTATGTTTTATAGTTAGTAAAAAATGTTTAAGAGAGCTACAAAATTATTACATAATTAGTACAAAAGTATAGGCTCAGTTAATTTTGAGTTTCGAACAAGTGGAGGTGTAAGCTTGCGCGAGGTCGATTGAACGGACCGGAACTATTACGCATCACAACAACTAGCTTTCACCACATAATAAATCTTCAAAAAACAGCATTCTATAAAATAATTAGCACGCCGTGTGCATGTGCCGGCGACTGTTAACCTGCAATCGGGGAGGGGGGCGTCCCGAGAGAGCTTACAGCTCCGTAGCGACGGGTGGGGAGCGGCTTAGAAAGGCCATCGCGGCAACGGATTCCGTGTTCGCTCCGGCGGAGGCCGGCCCCCTCGGACGCGGTGGGCCGTGCTGGTGCGTGTCGTCTGATTGGATGGTCCTCGGGGCGGGTAAATACTCCCGCACCGCCGCCGCGTGGAGCCAGGGCTCGATGCCCCGCGTTGCGCCGCGTCGCTGCTGGCGCCCCAGGCGGTCAATTTCCGAAATATTAACCCGGCTTGCGACCGCCCCGTTCCCTCGCCACGCGGACGATGGGGGGGGGTGATAGGGGTCAGGCGAGACGGGCCGCCCTGCAAGGGCACCTGGCCTGAAGACGCGTCCCGAGCGGCGCGGGAGTGGGGGGGGGAGGCCGAGGCGGCCGCGTGGGGACGTCGTGTCGCGTGGCAAGTCGCCGCCGCGGCACTCGATAACAGAGACTTCGTGAGGGCGACGCGACAGCAGGCGGGTGCGTCGAGGTACGCGGCTTCTTGCGCTGTTGCAGGCGGGTCTGTAGTTACTCACGCCAACTATTTCTTGAATGATCGCTTGATAAATGTGGTAGATCGAATTGTAAAAAAAAAAAAAAAATTAACTTAGTTACGAATCGGCACTAGGTTTAGAAACATTGCCAATTCTGAGAATCAGCCATTCCTTCACATTGTTCAATAATTTGCGTTCTAACTCTCAGGAGTTCGAGGTATCTCCATGTGAAAGATATTTACCTTGGTTCGATTATTTCTTCTAGATTTTTGAGAAAATAAGAATAGAGTTATCGCCTCTACAAAATAAATTGTATTTGATTATTTGATTTGGCCTCCCAGAAGATGTGTCGCGAATGTTTCATCAATGAGCTTTCGCGCTTAAACTGTTTGTTCTTCCCGGGACGGGAAGAAAGTTATCTGTTCAAAAAAGTTCGCCAGTAATACCGCGATATTATTGAAAGCACTGCTGCCAAAGTAAACGAAAAACAAGAACATGATTGTGTATCACGTGTTGCAGTTGTATTGAGGGGCAGTTTCTTTTATTTATTATATTGAGCTACATAAATTCCATCTTCGAGTATGCACTCAATAAACTTCGGACCCGCCAATGTAGAGAGAATTATACGGCGCCGCGCTCAGATCGAGAAGTTATCCATGGTTTCTCGCGTTCAAAAGACAATATAACCAAAAACACCGGACGTTTTTAACAAACTGGCCGCGCAACTCGTGCAATGTTATCTTCCTTATAGTATCCCCTCTGTCCCGTTGCACATTTCACTAATATGCAGCTACATTACATATTTACTCGGGTGACATGCGCCACAGCTTGGAGCTTGTCCCTGAGGTGTCCCTGCGAGAAATACTTGAAGCAAGAACAACTAGCCGGCGCTTGCGTCGGCAGGCAGATTTTCACGTTAACACAGCAATAGAAACACCGCCCACATTTTGGAGGGGGCGCTGGCAACTACGGGACTAGTGAATTAGCCGTATGAGGCGCCAGAAATAAGAAAACAATCCAATTGTCGAATGGTTTCTCTAGGAAAATCACACTTGCTAAAGATTTTCGCCTCAAGTACTAATATGACTGAAATAAAGGACCTTAAAATAAAATTTTCTTGCTGACTACAATGACTCAATTAATCGATGCGAGACTCTGGGTTTTCACTTTAAAAAGGTGAAAAAATGGAAAATTATGGTTTGGTCGTATCTATTCTCGAATTATATTTGTGCATGTTAGCGGGCTAAGGTGGTCTCAGCGGCTATCACGCTGATGTCACTGCCAGTCCCTCTGATGCGAGTCTATGGGTCCGAGTGCCGACGGTGGCAGATTTTCAAACATAATGCCGCGTTCATGTCCGCTTGTCGAGCGCAGCGGATGCCCCCTCTTTATGGTAGTCTTTTTTCGTGGGTTCTCTCTATCAACCAGTCGACAGAGTATCCAGCAAACGCCACGCGAGCACTGTATTCCATATCCATCCTT